ATACGTTTGTTCTATATTTCAGTTTTTCTTTCTGCATCTGCCCGTAAAAATTGAATTATCTCTGGTATTCGCTACACTGCGACGAAATTTCGGTGCAAAATGTTCGCGTATACTCGTAAGATTAAACGAAGAGTTTTAATGATCGTTCAAGGTATTTCCCAAAGGATTTTTCAAAATATCACACCAATGAACAAAGTGCTTTGATTTGTGGACGCAAATTAAGTTAAAGAACATAAGATGCTGTATCATAATAAAAACATATACAATTCCGTAAATGCCTAAGATTGTCGAGTCTAATTTAATTTTCAACCTGGAAAAAAATATTTTCTTCAAATGCATTTCCTTGACGAAGATATGACGAAATGTCAGGCTATTTTAATTACAATCCAAAGGCCGTTATGAGTTTCGTGGCACATAGCTACTTCTTATCACCAGCCATACCATAACTCGTTTACCCTTGCAAAGAAAGACGGAAATATATTGCAACAGTGAGACTAAAAGGAAAAACTTTGCATATTGTTCCTTCTCCTCTTTCAGAGAACATTTTCAACTAAAAGCTTTAAACTTAATTCCTTATTTATAATAGCAAAGTTTCCCTGGTATTGTAAGTGGGGTAAAATATAACAACAAGGCGACTCGTCAGTGAACAACTTGCCATATTTACTATCTGCACTACCAAGGAAACTAACATGGAATTTTTTTTCGGTTTTACATGAGGCTATAGTAGTATTAATAATATTTATTCGAATGGTATAAATTTAGCTTCTTATTCCTTGAATGGAGTAACTTTCGATGACCAAAATCAAATTATTTTTACACTTTTAACCAGCTGCATGAGAAGAAAATATTAGGTCGCTAATTGAATGGCAATTCTGTCGCGTCATAAGATCAGGTGTTTTCTGGTACGTGGTAAAAATAAGTTTGAAGTTATTATAATAAAAAAAATACCCATAGGCATGAATTGTCATATCAAAGTAAACGTCTTAAAGCAGACCATATAATATTTGTATTACAAGTTGCTCTTCGTTTTGACCAATTTAGTGCCATGTTCAATAAAGACTCTTCAAAGTACGTCATTCGAACAATCCATTGTCATTTAAATTCGCCATAGATTATACTTTTTAAAACCTTCTTTTTTGAAGGTATTTTTGCATTGGTAAATATTCACTGCGCGTTTCATTTTCAATTATAAAGAAAGAAAAAAGTGGATTCGCGCAAATCGCTTATGAAAAAATGGCTTTAAAGAAAGTGAATTCTCTAACTTCCGTTGCCTTTAATTCAGTAATTATATATTGAAAAGGTGCTGTTTAAGAATAAAATTCTTTTATTTCCGTTTCTTTTTTTTCAGAAATTAAAAATATTCACGTAGTTTTTTGTTAATAAATATATTGCATTTGTTTTTATTTCTTGCTACCACGTTCTTCTAATCCGGCTTTACCTTTTGAAGATAAACGGACACCTCTATAAACACATGTAGTGGTAAAATAAACGCAGCAGTTATATTATTTTTCCACTTTCTTTGTCAGTTAATATCAATATATGTCTTTAATAAGTGTCAACGACTAATTTTCTTGAAAACATCGTAGCTAATTTTATTAATTTTGGTTAGGAAGCTGCTAACGGCCGTGCTTGAGAGTTTTAACTGCAAACCACTTATCAGTTTATAGTCAATTAAAAATCGTTTTTTTTGACTACTTATAATGCCGTTACATCAAGCGGCTATTGAAGGTACCATTGTAGGAAATGATTTATCTTCAGTTTGGATTTATGCTGTGGTTGCCTTCAAAAACGAATAATATCATTTATCAACTCCCATGCAGACAATCCCTCAGAAATTAGTGCCACTCGCATTGACGAGTGAAATGAAGATACTGAAGGGAAGCCCAATGGCGGAATTGAAGTCAACGCGTCCCCTTGTATCGTAGACACTGGAGAAAGAAGGAATTCAGTCATACGAGGCTAGCGCGAGGAAAGAGGACAAGTGCTAGAGGAGAGACTCGGGCCTCTCCCTCCGAACTTCACTCCAAATTTTTACAGCTCACAGCCGTAGTGTTTAGAGTACGTGAGTGGTAGCATTTGGCTTAGCGGGTGAACTATCACTGATCCCTGGCTCGAGACGCAAAGGTCGTCATGATATTGTGCGTTTAGCTTGGATAAGAACTGTGACCATTTTCCTTTTCCTAGTTTCCTTTTCCTATCCGAATAAGAGGTACTCACAGCGCAGGACCTTTATTAGCGCTCTTTAACATTTTGGTGTTATTCTGGATTTGTGAGACAATCAAACTGGGAAAAGCCTTAGAATACGACGTAATTTCTGTAATCAGTTTCATCTGTGTTGTTTGAGAAGCCTAACTTAACATAATATAACAGTAGTATGACCTCTTTCGGTGTGGAAACTCTTAACAAATCTTCAACTGATAAGTTCTAAATGTTGACACAGGGAATCGAATCCTAGGCAAGCCTTGTACTTATCTACGCTGCCGGTTAACAAATACTTTTCGGGTTGTTTCCTTTCTCCAAGTGTACTTTTCTCTATCTAGACCTTATGGAATGACAAGAAAATGAAAGTTTGCGGCGACTTTGTGTTGCGAACCTATTATGAGATCAGCCATGATATAGATTGATATTGAACCATTACCAAACGATTTTAGTTTCAGATAAGCGTGAGATTGTAGGTGTGCTCAAGGGAGCTATTCGGAGAAAGGTGAATACAAAGTAGAAATCTAGCGACTAAGCGTCTCGGAGGTACTTCACACTCACTGGCAAAGAGACGTTCCTCTTAAAAACGTCTGTACGAGGTTTCAGTTCATTGATCTCGAAATTTTTATAAGGCCGGCCAGTAAGCTAGAGCGTGACTGTGTTTTTGCTGTTGTAGAATGTGTTTCAAAAGAGTTTTTCCCAGGAAAAACCTTGAGCGTCCACAACGTTTAGTTCGGTGTGATTAGCGGGACAGAGTGGCTGACGCCAAACACGGAACTTTCACAAATAGGCCGCCGGAAGCACTGGTAGAAATTACTCCAAGTTCTGGTCTAGACCACCAGGATGCTTCTACGACAATTTAGTTATATTTGCTCTTCTTAACAAAACAGACATTAAAAGTCGGCGTTTGATCATTTAAACGCTTTTTTTATCCTCACGTTGCAACGGTGACAAGTGACGTCTCGAATTTTGCGTCCGGGTGATGTACGATGTGCTGTGTGGCGATAGGTAAGGATTTTCTAGGTTAAGTCAAACTAAACCAATAACTTCAACAATAGTCTAGTATCAAGAGTCAGCAAATGTTCTATATTCATTTTCCAAACTGAACACTTCACAGCAAACCTAGATCACCTTGAGGAGAGGCGAGGAAAAGAGTTCGTCGATAATGGACGAACATCACTGAGTTTTCAGCCTTAAAGTTAAAAGTTTTAGCGATTGACGTAAGGAAAGATTAACAGTGAGAGTAGAAGCGTATTTATAATGACAACCTTTAGTCTCGCTTGGTTCTTAAAATGTTGTCAGTCGCTGTGAAAGAGTTTTCATCTGGTAGTTTTTGGTCAATAGCTCAGTTGGCCGGGATAGCAAAGCTAAACTTTACTTCATTGCAAATACCCTGTCTCGATTTGAGGTATTCTGCTTTCTTAGCCGAGCTTGGATGCCTTAGTTTCAGACAAACTAAAAACTGAGAAGAGCAAGTATATGTGCTGCGAAGATAAAGAATTAATTACTAAAAAATATGCATGATTCTCTGATGTATTTTCTTGTTAATGAATTCTTTAACAAAAATTTCAAAGTCAACCTTTAGTTACGAGACCTTGCACTGATCTTTCTTGAATATTCTTTTATAAAGAGTAAGTCTTATATTGAAACTATTTTCATTTCGTTAGGCTCTATTCCATACACTTCAATCCTATTCATGATTTCTGTTGTGGCGATATTAGGTCGGTAATTAGGTAAACTTTTGGATATTTGGCTTACATCCTGAAATTTTGATACAATGGAAAATCGCGACTCATTATCAAAACAGAAAAGACCAAGGGGTGGCCCAAATGTTATTGACAGTCCACGGCACTTTTCATATACTTGTTGATCACATTTCTGATAAAGCATGATAACAGAATACAAACTTTTCAAAAAGTAAGACACAAAAGGTACAAAATAGAAAGAATGATAGTTGCTGTGATTCACTTATATTTATTTATATTAATTTAAAAATACTCTGTAATCGATAGTATTTTCCCATGCGAACTGGCACGCGCGTCTTTATGTCATAGACAAGTTACGTTATAATAAATCATTTCAAACGATCAAGTCAGAACTTTTCTAGTACTGGTAGAACTGAATACTGGGGCCGTCTTTCTTAGAGTTACTATATCGTGCAGTTTAAGAACTGTTTGCAGTCAAGTAAAGTTGTAAATCCGTGACTTAACCATTAGTTCCTAAGATATGCCTTCGCTATTTTCTATCAACTACAACGTCATCCCTTGATTTCATGATATTACATTCAGAGCTTCAAATCTTTTGTTGCATTTATTGCCTAGTATCGCAGCTAAGTGACTTGGCAAAATATCATCAGTATTATTATACTAATATATTATCATATTTGTTATTATTAGTTTTTTTACGAAGCTGTGTTATAATAGCTATTTTTACATTGTAATTATGTTTAAATTATTAGTCGGTATTGTATTGCTGAAAACTTCTAAACTTCATAAAATCTAAGACATGACGGCGATTATTTTATTTATTGCAAAAGTGGAGATCAGAATTTCTGATGAAGCAACTCCACGCTATGTGATTTACTGGCTGATTCACTTTTGAATAAGAATCTGTTAGTTTTCCAAGAAATTACGAAGCAGAGTAAAATCACAGAGTTCTCTCTAAAATTCAGAGTTTGATCAGTCAGAATAAAGTTCATGTAATGTATATTATATCTTTTGTTCGCAGTTTATACGCTGAAAAAAGCCAGAAAAAGGAAATTACATACTCTAAAGCCTTTGTTACCAGGAGGAGGCCATGATATGGAGAATATGGATGTTGATCAGGATGACGACAGTGATAGCGGTATTAGTCAAGCTTACAGCCCTGCTGCTGTCCATAGTACACTGCGCATGCCTGACATTGCGAAAACAGAACTGGCTTCGAAACTAGCGGCAGCAACGTCAGGAAGTCCAGCTCATATCAAAGCGCGCGTGTTATGGAAATACGAAGGCGTGGAGCCCACGGACTTAAATGCAGACAAAGGGGAAATAGTTCTACTTCTTTACAGGGATAAAAGTAAAGTTTATGCGGTAAACAGCAAAGGAAAGAAAGGATTTATACCGTTTAATTATTGCTCTGTGCTACGCAAAAATGACTTTGTCACAAATGGCTCTTTTTCACCCGCTGAGCAGACGGACGAAGACGGAAACTTTCGTCCTGTTAAAGTTTATTTTCACGACGACTTTATTAAGGAGAATGATACAAATTTATTTCACTCTAGAAATACACGCATCAGTGAAAAGCAAGACTCATCTTCTATACCGCGTTGCCGTAGCGACGAATCGCTCTTCGGTCGTAATAAGCAGAAATCACGAACTCGACAGCTGTCGTCTTCACTCGAAGAGTTAACCGACGACAATCAAACGACGTCGATGGTCTCCAGTCTCATTCAGTGGGATCGGAAAGCTCCGGAGACTTATCGGCGTCGACAGAAAGTGAAAGTGACTCACTTCAGAAAGTTTGAAAATGATGCTGTTATGGTCTTGTATGATTTTCAAGCGGCTGATGAGAATGATTTGGATGTGTATAGAGGAGAAGTTGTAACTGTTCTCAACCGAGATGATAACGATTGGTGGTGGGTTATGAGAGTTGATGGAGCAGAGGGGTTTATTCCAAGTTCCTACGCGTCTGTAGAAGCAGTACGCTTCACTGGTAAGTATTTTGATGTAATTTATTGTTAATAGATTACCAGTTTCCTTAAACTTTCCAGTTAAAGACGTGGGGCTGTCTTTCAGGGGGGCGAAAAGAACGAGCAAACGTCTAAAACTGTGCTGTGAGTCGTAACTAAGTCCCAATATCTAAGAGAGACTAGGCTCGCTTGTTCCACCTTCCAAAGGTAATGCGCATGATCAAAGTTTAAGGTAATTTATTTAACACAACGTAGGTCATAGCACAACCGCGAATCATATCCTTGCTCAGCACGTGCTACAGATTTGAAACACAGGAAAAGTTTCATGACTGCAAAAATTTTGCCTGGTTATGGCGTTGTTTAGTATACCGTGTGGCACGAAATTTTTGCGGGTTCTAATTTTTGCGATTTTTGCGGTTTTTCCAGCGATCCACAAAAATAAGTTCCCGCAAATAGAAATTACCGCACACATTTTCCCGCAAAAATTTACTGCAGAGTAAATATTCTTTAACGTAAATTCGCCACACAAAAATCACACATTTTCCCGCAAAAATTTACTGCAGAGTAAATATTCTTTAACGTAAATTCGCCACACAAAAATACAGTACTAAGAAATCGTGTCTGTTCAATCACAACTTGTCTCTTTCATTCAGAAACAACGAAATACTGGTTTATTGCTTGAAAATGTGTTTTTCTATTGCACCTACTCTATAAAAACGAACAAAATATTTTCAATGCTGGATACTTTCTGAAAATCGCAAAAATTAATTCCCAGCAAGAAAAACCAATATGTCTAATAACAGAAATTAGTTCTCGCAAAACACAAAAAGTCGCCAATCCGCAAAAATAAACTCCCGCAAAAATGTCGTGTCACACGGTATACTAAAACAGCGGATAGTGTTTTTCGCGCGCTTTGATTGCCTACTCAAACGCGGGATCTCCAATCAGTGCTGTTCACCTCCGCGCTTCCTCCGAGTTACGTCAAACCCGCGTTGGTTACGAGCAAAATCAGCCTCACGGTTTGCTTCCGTAACAAACGAAAAAATTTCACCAATAAAACTAAGAACCTGTTCCCGATAACACGGAGAAGGCCACGAAATTTGGTTTGACAGTTTTTACAGGTGAAGCTTTGTCTGTTCCACCTGAATTGCTGGTTTGCAGGTGATGTCACGGCTGCCATGTTGGACTGTTGGTGGTGTGTTGGTCGTCAGAACAAAAGCTGACACTGACATGTAGATTCTTCGACCACCAACGTGGCAGCCTTGTCACGTGGTTGCAAACCAAGAATTTTGCGATGAAACCGGTGTTTTTTGTTTTCAAATGCAAAGTCTTTCGTTACTTTATTTGGCTGGCGTGTTCATAAATAAGCTTAGAAAATTTAATGAAATTCAGTAAATAATTGTTATTTAGCTTTCAATTTATTCATTTTATCGCAGACATAACACCTAGAAGTACAGATAGCACGACCAGCGGAAGTTCGGAGAGTAGCATGAACCAAGTTAGGTTCCAGGACCCACTCTGCACTATACATAGTTACATAATCGAAGATTCGGAATCAGATTCTGACGTAAATGAACCACGTGACATGGAAGATGACTCGATGTCAGAAACGGGATCTGCGGACGACCTTTATATCGATTCCAAGTTTAGCACGTGGTGTTGAAGAAGATACAGCTGACTCCAGGCTTATTGCTGGTGAAGTCCAAGCAGATTTTTGAGATGGAACTGAGGAAGAAACAGCGCGTGAGATCTAGACTAACCGATCTCTCTCCTACACTAAGAGAACTGCAGTATCGACATTGAACGTTTATTACAGACATGTGCAATAGTTTATCAGAGATGATATTAGTTTATTTAAGAATTAAGAGTGGATACACCAGTATACAGTCTTCTTAGACAACACATTCTCACATATCGTATATTCTGAGTGTACTTCAAGAAATGAATAACATCATGCCCCGGAGCGAACATACCATTGGACTTTTTTCCTTCGAGTGAAACGGGCCTCACAGCACTATTTCAAAAAGCAAAACAGTTTGCTAATCACTTTTTGATTTTGCTTTAATCGAGTGAGCGTTTGAGCTAGCTGCTGGCTAAGTGCGTTAAATATCCTGCATAGGTAGGTTATTCGCTTGAAACTTACTAATTTCAACATGGCCATGAATCATTTAACACTGAGTATGAATTTCACGAAATAGTACTGACTATGGCCGTGACAAAATCGACAAGAATCGTACGTTCTTTTCTGTGTGTTTTTCATCTACAGCGAAAAAATTATTGACTAATAAAGACTGATTTTGCTCTCAAGGGCAACGAATACCGTCTTCTTACTGGGTTATTTCTAGACCCAGGGATGGTAACATATTTCCATTATCCGTCTATAAGATTGTTGCTATCAGTAATGCCCCGTTTACATGAAGAAAACTTGTCCTTACCTTTCCTTACCAAACTAGGCGAACCTTTTACACGAGAAACAAAAAGTTGGCTCGAGTATAGAAGGCTCACCAGCCAAGCCGTCGGGTCACTCTTTTCGATCGTAGGGTCACACTTTCAGCCGAGCCAACTTAGTCCATATAAACACTTTGGACTTTGGCTAGCCCAGCCGGCCGGGTCAACTTGTATGGTGGAGGCGAGACAATCAGAGCACGCATGAGCGCTGTTATCAGCTCTTGGGAAGGCCGGATCAACTTTTTTCTCATATAGACGCTTACTATATATATAGTTGACTCGTCTGGGAGGGTGACCCTCTTTCCGGGGTCAACTTTTCTCCATAAAACTGGGACCTGAGTTTTCAGTGTCTCTCATGTTCCTGCTTTGACCCACCCTCATACCCAGCGTCTTCGTTCCCCTTGACCAGCGGTCTCGTCAAGCCAGCATGCGCAGTAAGGGACGAAGACTCGAGGTACGAGATTGGCTTTGACCACACCTCCCCCGGCGTTTCAGATAACTATCCACTTACAAAGGTGAACGGTTGCCTAGTCCCTGTACGGCGTCTTTCCAAGCCCTCTTGGTCAATGCATTTCGGTGACGTATCCGAGACGAACGGCAGGGAGACGGCCTCAAAAACTTTCTTGGACCACGTGACCCGAAACGCATCGGCCGCGCATAATAATGAGACCTAGGGACTAGGCAAGGTTAACGGGAGACGAAGAAAGGGAAGAGGACATTCTCTATACCCTAATTTTTTATTGCCTCACACTTATATCTTGGACTCCTCTATTTACTTAAATAGGACAGTGACCAACACGAAACCTTGGGCTACTTTGGTCACTGTGCACATATCAACAACCTTGTATATTATATTTATTTTTCATCATTTGCTAACGAACTGATTCTGTTAGCCATCTTATACTGTATCAACTTGAATAGTGCGAAATAAACTTGAACCTTAAACCTTGAACCTATCTCCGCTCATCTCCCTCTACGCGTGAGTTCATGGACCGACGTCAGTGTCAGTCCTTCTGTTAGGTTTAGGGCAGATTAGATTTTAAAGGACGAAGTCTCTTTACGCTTCCCTCTACCCCCTCCGCCACAAACACCTTTTATATATGGGCTAGACCATTTATCTTTTTTTTATTGCCTGTCGTACAGAAAAAGAGATGATGTCCAAAATTGGCCCCTGACCGCATTAAGATAAACCCCTTACCTACCTAGCAATGACTTCGTGGATAAGTTTAACCGCGTTCAAGCAAACCCAGTATAGTGGGCTTCGTTGGAATATTTCGAAACAGTGGTACTCCCCCTCGTGTCCCCCCTCCCCCAATCCACAATCAATAAATACTGCCGCCTAGAAGGTACGACGACAACCCGACAAGTAGGCTAACAGTTAAAAAATCCTAGCCACAACAAACACAAAACGGCTTTCCGGACCTGAAAAGTTATCGGGACTTTCGAGAAACAGGCCCCAGGCTTGTATCATATCGGTATAGAACTTTTGCGCTAAGGATCGAGATCGAGGGGGTTGACTGACAGCGTAATTCAACTGCTCCCTTGTATGAAAACTTTCCGCATTTATTTTGGTTAGAAAAAATCTTCAGTTTTTTTTCAGCTAACTCCAGTGTGCCAGGAGTCTGACTGACGTCACGGAGCCAGGAGCCCATCAAATTTGATGGGCTCCTGACGGAGCCGATTAGAAATTTGATAGGACAGTGCAAAGTGACCCACGTCACCATGAATGGTTTGACATTCTTACCACCATTTCAGTTCTCTTAATAAAAAATAAAAATATAACATAAACTGGGATACAAAAAAATACGGCAAATTTTTTAAAGGATTAAGGAAAGAAAAAAAAGTATTGGGTTGTGTCAGAAGTGGGATTCGAACCCACGCCTCCATTCGGAGACCAGAACGCCCACCCCATGGATCATGGGAAGGATTTTATCCTTGAGTCTGGCGCCTTAGACCGCTCGGCCATCCTGACAACCCTGATAATTAGGGTTCAAGTTTAAAGATATAAACAGAGAAACATTCCGAATACTTGTTGCAATCGGAAAAATCATTTTTTTCTTTCCGCATGTAAACTAATTTTTGTACATAAAACATAAAAATCGTACATTTTGGAGTTAATAACAAAAACCTGATCGATTCTTCTCATTCTTTGGAGGATCTTTAAAATTTTTAGCGCGTCCGATAATCCCTGGAAACTAGAATGCCTGGAGGAATTTTGGCAGAAGTCGAGGAGAAAATACCGCTACCAATGCAAAGTAATTTTTTGGTTCAAAACACGGAAAAAGCAGTGGTTGTTGCAAACTATCACAGCCCTGATTTCACTTATGAGAAGATCTCTACAGAAACTGTGAAGTGTGGAGCGATCGTGGAAGTATGTCAAGGAACTGGAAGGTTTACTCCATTTGCGATTCGAGTGTGGTTGAATGTCAACCCCATCTTCGGAAGAATTCTGTGGCAGCGAATCTGCGTTTCAGAACATTTTTGTGTTAATTTAACCTCATGGTTGTTTCATCAGTGGAGAGGAATGAAAGAAAGTAACGGTAAGGGAACTACGCAGAGTTTTTAAACTTGTGTCTTCATCGAAATGGCTGATAAAAAACGAAAGAGATATTTTTTTATTGCCAGTCACATTGCATTGCATACATGTTAATGCTTGGAAAAAGATAGAAATCGCGATCGAAGTTCGAAGTTAAATGTATCTTGTATCTAAATCTTCATTTGCAACTTAAGTAGAAAATTAGGTATGACTACGATATTTTCTATTCCAACATAACACACTCTGGTATCCCCCACCCAAACTTCGCTTTCGGAAACAATTTATAGTTTATGTAAAATGTGGGGGGCAAGCCGAGTGTGTTATGGGGGATTCAAAAATAAAGACAAGTCGGCAAAATCTGGAACAGTTGGCCATGGCTGGTAGTAGTGAAATCTGCAATCAATCCTCAGATTTTTGCGACATATGAAAACCAGGATTATGACAACACTGTAAGTGGGTTTCCACATCAATATTTGGTGAAAGGTTGTGATAATGGTGAGAGCGATTTTCTCCAGTTCTACCAGTAATTAAACTTCTTTAACATTACTCCTTTGCATCAACATGCGATACTGATGTTAGTTTTCTATTTTACTTATTCCAGCAGCTGACAAACAGGCAAGATGTGTATTTGTTTTTAATCTTGGCAAAGCATGTTCACTTTACATGCAAGAGAAAAAAGCAAAAAGCAGTTCTCAAGTTTGTTCATTTCATATTTACATTAATGTTCAGCCACTAACATGTCTGTGTGTGGAGCCTGATTTGAATTGGTAAGTGTTTATATGGTGATTTTACAGTCAGTTAAGCCAGATTAAGTGCACTCCTGTAGATACTATTAGTGAATGGATTTTTTGAATATGAATCCTTTTAGTCATTGCCAATTTCAGATTCATTTCTTCATTCTTGCATAAGCAATGAGCAGTAAATTCACATTCGAGGAATTTAAAGTTTCTGTCAGCTTAGCTTTTTTTTGACATAAATTATATAATTTTCATTCTGAGTGAAATATAGTCTTTTAAAATTCACTGCTCATTGTCTCAGGGCTGTCAACCCCCCGCGTCTTCAAATATTAAGAATTGATGGGGGAGGGATGATAAATGACGTCATAATGCACACGTCACATGACGTCATTTGTGAAAAAAATGCACGGAAAAGATGTTGTTGGAATTGTAACATTTGACCTAACTGGCTTACTTTGCACCAATAACATTATTGCTTACCAGTATTTTACAATGTCATACCGGAGTTTGTGAGGAAATGTTCGATGTTAACTGTAAAACAGCTCCAACAACGCAATGTATTTGAAGTTATAGTCAGCAAGTCAATTCTACAAGAAATGGCAGACTTTAGCGTTTACCCAGGAGATTTCAGACTCTAATCTGGAGACTGGGAGAAATGGTTCAAAATCTGGAGGCTCCCGGATTATCCGGGAGAGTTGACAGCCCTGTTGTGTATAGAGGTTGAAATGTAGATTTGATTGTGATACTTTGTAGTACCAGCAATGTCTACGGTAACATATTCAGATTTTTAAATAATCAGTTGTCAAGAGATTCGGTGGTTAGCTCGAAAGCTAAGCTCCTCTGACCACCGTACACTTCTACCCAAGCCATTAATTTTCTTTTTTTTTCCTTCTTCTTCTCCTTTATTAGTGTATTCCTACCTTACTATATATAATGTAAATACTTTATAAAGTGTGAATAATAAAATTGAATTGAATTGATTCTGTGGGGGTACCTAACTTGAATGTAATCTTTAATGCCTAGCAGAAGAACTCTTCCAAATTATTTATATGTGCGCCTTCACATCCATCTTGAGGACAATTTTGAACGTTGTCATGCACCTTTGATCATATTTGCATGGAAAAGGCGTGTTATAAATTTTAAATTATTAATAATAATAATAATTATTATTATTATTATTATTAATTTTGGGACTCCATTTCCAGGACAGTTTATTATTATTTACTGTAAGTTGGTTCCCAGAACAGGGTGTTATAATTAACAATTATTATTCCATGAGTGCGCATTGGATATGAGATGCTAGATAGCCAACAAGGCATGTAGCGCTGAGTTGACCATAATTGTCTCATACCCAACAGGCACAAGTGGACTAATTGTTTTATTAAAAACACCCACAAAGTATTGAGAATTCATCCCGACTTTATTTGTAAAAACAACCAATTTTCTGCTTGTTTTCAATTTTAAGCAGACGCATACAGTTACCGTATTTGGAGAGCATGGTATAATGGCTCATATACCATGATGGCTAAGCCAATCCATAATCTCTAGAATTGCATTTTATCCAATTAAGTTTTGAATAATAATCAAATAGTCATGCAGTTCTCACAGTGTCTGCAGTAGTGAAGCAAACATCTAATAAGCATCTAAATTCTAATGCTGTATACAAATGATTTTGGTGCTTTCCCTTGGTTGTCACTTTATTTAAACTACAAGATCCCTCTAAAATGGGCCTCATATGGTCACATACCCACTAGGTAAGATCCTATCTGAGAATAGAATTATTAAAGTGCTCCTTTATAACTAAACTTCAATGCTGCCTTAAAAAGGGCTTTGATTTCATCATTTAAAGTTTTACCTGAAGTACAAAGAACAGTTTGTAGTTTTGCACTATTTTTTTAATGAACTAGTTAGTACAAAGTTTGCTGAATTGCCTCTCTGGCAATCTTGTTTAAAGAGTATTGTGGTGTGGTCCATAGGTGCAGACGTCTCCTTGTTGGTCTTGTAGAATACATGCAGCTTCAGGATGTCATGGCATGGCTGTCAACTTTAGGAGGAGCTTACTCAGCAATGGGAGAGCATTTTTGTAGTTATGTGAGTGTGTAATAACTAGCTTCTCTTTATTAGTATTGGATAAACGTTTTCAAGATTACTGGTAACTTATAATTAACCCTTCTAATCCCAGTTGCTGTTTTTGGCTATTATGCCATCACTAATGAAAATTTAAGACATTCAATAAATCAATTCAAGAATCTATAATTGAAGGAAATAATGTGTAAACAGTCTTGCCAACAGAAGTTTGAGGTTTTCACAAGTTTTTGTGCATGAGATATTCACAGACTGAGAAATGTTTTACTCAAATTAATGGAGCGTTGTAAAAGAAAAGGAGAGACCATGCATTCACCAAAGTGTCCTCTTTGATTTCTTTAACTGAGAATTATAGAAAAAAATAATTTCCACAGTTAAAATTCAAGACTAAAATTAATGAGAATTAATTCAATGACCTCTTCTGCTTGAGTCTGTCCATCACCTTCAACAGTTCAAATAGTAAAATCTTTTGATAATTCTTATGATGATTATTCTAATCAGCAGAAAACCAACACGTAAATAGGAAGGCACGAGTTGTGTTTTCCACAGTCAAAATTCAAGACTCAAGTTTAATTAATGAGAATGATCAATTAAATGACCTCTTCTGCTTGAGTCTGTCCATGACCTCCAACACATCAACATAGTCTGTAAGTCATCTTTCGTTTCAAGAGAACACATTGAAAAATTGTAAAAAGTACATGAAGAACATAAAATTTCAATTTTACAATGATTACTGATTGTGTGCATTCAACCATCGTCCATTAAATTTCATGATGTTTTATTGGTTTTTTTTTTCAGTCTGAGAAAGCTGGTCAGATTTCTCAACATCAGTTCTTAGTAGCTATGAGATTAGGAAATCCAATTCTTGCCGCACAGTGTAAAGTTTTTGCTGCAATGAGCCTTATACAAAGAGGACGATTAAAAATGGCATCTAAAGTTATAAGGTGTGTGACTGCAGGCCTTGGACCATGGGTGTACCAATGATTTATATCTAAACCATATTCTATTAATAAAATTAGTATCTGGATAGTAGCTTTTTGTACTACATTCTTTTGTAGCTTAGGATGGACCAGGGTGGGTTGTCTCTGTTACTTTTTTCATCAACTCCCACGTACATGTATGTAAAAATTCTTTTACACCATTTAAATTTATTTTTTTATTTGATATGCATGCATACAGTGTACACCCATGGATACAGCATGTACATGTACTCTGCTATTATTATTACGATCATAACTATAACAAAATCCTCAAATCTGATTGGCTATCAACTGCCCTGATTTTAGCCTTAGTAGGACAGTGTAATAGGACTGTATGTGTCATTCCTAAGTAATTGGACAGTACGTGCCATCATGCATGCGTTCAAATGGCTTTTTCACTGCTAGCAAAAATAAATCTCGGAATTTCTTGTGTTTTGATTTAAAAAAGAGCCCAGTATAACGCAAATTTTGTTAATGTTGTGATTAATTGGTAACAGAACTTTTTGTCGTCCAATTCGGTCTTTATTCATACTCGTGATTAAAAAAATCGGACTCCCGCTATGCTGTCGTCCTTAATCACTTATACAATTACAGACTGAATTACAAGCCTCCACTAAGTCCTGTTACCATTATTTATGATTATGATAATTATTTTGCTTTGTAGGGAGCAGTATCATTTAGCATTAAATGGCTTAAAGGATGAGAAGGTAATTAAAATGACCTACAAAATGTACATGTATTGAATGTAATGTATCCTGCCCCTTTCATTGTTGTCATTGGCAAAGATAAATTTGCTGCTAGCAAATTATGAGACAATTAAAATACTAAATGAAATGGCAATGCCTCTATAGAAAAACAGCTTCACTCCTGGAAAATATTTGCTCTTGAAGCTAGATGAGCAATTTTCTGGGTGCTATCTGACCAATGAGAACAAAAATTGTCCAAAACACTTTTCATACGTCAAGCACAGTATTACATTCTGCTTCTGATACTGCACTTCTAAAAAAAATAAATAATAAATTGAAGGGCTTTGATATAAGAATGTCCTCAGATAATTTGATCAGGACTGTAGCTAACATTTCTAGTTGCCGGGAATATGTGATTAGTAGGAGGGGAATTGTACAGCAAGGAAGGACTTTTGGTTCTATTTTCTTTTTGCTTCCTATAAGAGTAGCTGGGGTTCACTCTCATCTTAGTGACAGCCCTGGATAATTTTTGATATTATTTTGACTGGTGTAACTTACAACGTTTTATAAATGAGTCACTGAAAATTGTCTTTTGCTGTAACAAGCCAAATTTCTTTTTGATTGTGACTGTTTCAGTTATTATCGTCCTGCAAAGCAGCCTGGATTAGGATACAGTACATAAGGAAACAGCGCAAGGTAATGACAAAAAAAAACCTAATAAACAAGAACACGCCTTACCTCACAAATTTGTAAACATTTATATTGCCTGTAGCATGAAATCAATAAAAACTGAATTATGTGTCCAATGAAGCCGGTGACCATCGTGCACTTGTCTAATGTTAAGTCATTAATCATTATTGTAATTATCAATAATTATTATTCAATGGATACAAACCAAAATGAACCTGTCTCATGTACACACTTGTCTGGGTCTTGTGAATGTTGACTTCAATCAATCAATCAATCAATCAATCAATCAATCAATCAATCAATCAATCAATCAATCAATCATCTTTATGTTATGCCCAAAGATTTCTTTAACCAGTTGTATGAGGATTTCCAAAATGATATGATTTTTATTGATTTGTCTCCACCCTACCCCACTGGATAGTGAGTCACCCCTGGCCAGTGTTTAATGTTGGTTTCCCCTACTCATTTTTCCATTCTATATTAATTTTCTTTTTCAAGCTTGACATCAGCTGTTTTCTTTTCTCAGGAAAAGTTGTCTAGACTGCTGTCCTGTAAAGACGCTAGCACAAGATGATATTAAGAATAAGTTAATAACTTGTATATAGACACTGTATTATACGTAAATATAGTCATACATTGTAAGCTATTGTACTTTGGTCCTCCCTGTACAGATTTTTTTGTGTGTGTCCAAAATCAAGTCATGTTTTTTATTATTTTTTCAATATTCGTTATATCAAGCTAGGAATTATCTTGCAGAATTTTCTTCCAGAAAAATGTATTCATAATCCTCCTACACTACAGCTGAGTGCAGGAATTTTTTTAGGAAGCAAACCAGACTTGCTAAAAGATACCCAGTGATCGAGCGAAGGTTTCTTTCTGGCATGGCTTTTAGCATTCGTTAAGTTATCAAACAAACCAACTATGCAACTACCAAGGGACACAAACGACTTCATAAATGCTAAACGCCATGCCAAAAAAGAAACCTTTACTTGCGGGGTATCTTTTAGCAAGTTTGGTTTTCTTCCTAAAATAATTCTTGAGAGGGTGGTAGAACTTGTGGCAGGCTGTAAGGCAAGTGTACAAAACTATGGAATACAAAAATGAGTGTTGCTTTTGAGGGAGGTTAGGAGGACATGCGTATCACTTTTAGTCTCACACCCTGTAATTCTTTTGCTCCTGGCGTTAGAATAGGATATGGCTGTGCATAATCTTTGGGGGAGTTTGATTGGATTTCATTAAATTTTGGAGTAAGCCAATGTCTAAAGGGAGTGGCGTACTCTGTACATTACCCTAACTTCACTCAATAATAAAAAGCATATTTAAAAAAGTACGAAATTTTGTCTGTTATCCGTTAGAAATCAGAGAATAAAAACTTAGGGATCTTAAAATTCTCTACCAATGTGAGAGAATGGGTAGGGTGCATTTCCTTTGCCCTCCCACTAAATCTGCCTATGAGGCTTAGGTAACATTGCTGCTGAAACACTCTGTAAAGGAGACGCGTTAAGACAGACAGCTAAAACTGGTTTTCGAGATAAATATTTGAAACATGTGAAGGAATACTCTACGAGCTATTTCTTGCTTATAGGGCAGAATTGAATAATATAAATCAAAGTGACTGGCTAAGCTCCTGGGAAGTGGGAAGTGGGGCGGAGTGGCGGCGTGACTTTTCCCTCCACCCCTTTCACCATTGTTTTCTCATTTTTCACCGCTTATTTTGTGTAATCATAAATCAGCGTGGGCTCGGTTCGGGAAATGGGCCCGCGATTCAGCATCACATTCACGGCAAACGCCAATTCCTACCACGTGACCAAGTTTTGTCGTGTTACTGTTTGTTTCATTCATAAGAATTGTTTTAGAAAGTCTTTTGTATCTGCTCATTCCTAACTTGAGATGACGTTTGCTGTTAGCCGTAACCGTCATCATAAATCTCTCCATCTCGCACCCATCTACCCCTAATGACAATAGGAGAAACATGGTATAGGGTCCAATGAAGATAAGAGGGCCAAGACCATTAAACCAGATATAGACAGCCAACTGTAGAGGTCCAAGGTCCGAACGTCAATCTTGGACACACCCCCAGGCCGGAACTCAAAAGATGAATCCGTGCGAAGAACTAAACGCGCTATTTCCTCGGGGGTGGAGTGGAGAGGACGAAGCGTGTTTCAAAATTTCGCATAAGAAATGTTTTCAAGGGGAAACCAAGAGTATCACATGGTGTTCTTGAAAAAGGCCTATTTAGTCGATTAATAAGGGCTTTTTTCATCAGGAATCATTATAATGAAGAATCAAGACCGATAATTTGGACGACAGAAACGTCCCTTTTTAGTTTTTATTGTGTTCTTTTCTTGGTAACTACTAAATCGTACAACCTATTTTCAGAACGTTGAAATACTTTTTACACATGTACAGTAACAATGATAGCAATACGTATGCATTAAATGTTCATATTCTAAAGACAAAAGAGTAGTTTTCCAATGTGGTTGAAATAATTAGAAATCTTGTTCAGACTAGAAAGTACAAAAAAGGAGTCTGTCATCGGCAGGAACAGCCTCCTTTCGCTCTGCAACCACTAGACTACCTCTTGAATGATCTGAGAAATTGTTACCGTAAACTACCCCTTCTTAGCCATGGGCATGTACATCTTGGTAAGGAGTTTTAAGTGGGCTTATAAAAGGAATGGCTTAGCTTATGTCAGAGGGCGCTTATAACTGGAATAGAATACTAGCGCTTCGAAACAACCTAGAGCGGTGTTGATCATAGTGGGTTTGCATTTTCTGGTTTTTAATTAAGGGTCAAAACGTCGTAATCGAATTCTCTTCAATACATTTAGAAGGGGACTTCATCTCCGAGGGTATAACTAGGGCGGGGGGTAGGAGTTTGGGGGGGAAAGGGGTAGGGCTTCAAAACGGCAGTTTACGGTATAAAATTATAACCAATCGAGTGAAAGCTATCACATGACAACAGCATGATATAAGGCCGTAGAGAGTTGTGTAATTACGTCACATGTGGTGTCTTTCTTCACCCTGGGGGTATACTCTTTTCTTGTATAGCGTTAAACAGTGGGTCGTAGCCCAGTGTAATATAAAGAGGTGTTTTCTCATATATTTCGAACGGAATTTGTGTAATAAAACTATAACCAATCGAGTGAAAGCTACTTAGCCATACTTTTCATGATGTCGCCATGTTTAAGCTGTACGAGTTGGTTTCAGGTACAATGGACTGTGTAAGTGAAACCTAGTGTGACCGTTTCCATGACATTTTTCTGTTCTCTCCTGAGGTGAAAGTTCGAATGTTCACACGAGGGAACAAGTGAGTTTCACCTGAACAGAAAGTGCAAAGTTTTCTTTATATATTACATCTATTAAACTTTTCATTGGGTTCATTTCAATCCATAATGTTTAAATAATTCAACCTACTTTGTATTAAATTACAGACTGGATAACCAAAACAATACCTTGTTTCATTTGGACATAAATTATTAGCACTGACCTCTTGACTTTGCAATAAATTAATAAACTTGTGATTAGAATGAATGAATGACCCGAACAATGTCACTAGCAGATGTCTTTTCAAAGGCCTATGAAAATAGGGAGGTTTCTCAAAGCTTTGAGGCTCCAATGTGATTACAAAGTGCAATCATCCATAACCAAAACGAGCCAAAAAAAGACCGACCTATCGTGTGTTGTCTCGTCTGGCCGCCCGTTGGGAAGTGGCGCGAAGAGATGGCTGACATTTCAGACTAGTGTTTAACATACCTACAAACCCTTTCCATTAAAAGGCTGGGACATTCTTTGAATTATATTTCTTTTCCCCGTTAAGCCTTTGTTTCACGTTTTTTGGGTTAAGTATTTTTTTGACGTGACTTAGGATGTGTAAATATCAGTTCCCCTAAGACAAAAGGATCTGTAGGGATCTTGAGCTTCAAGGAAATCTGTCACCCACACCATGTAACGTGGTATCGATAGATTGCGTGACGTACTCAAAACAACCCTAAGATAACGTTGATAAATTTAAACAGGTCAAAATTGTGAGAGCATGACCTCTGAATCAGAGTGATCTGATAGTAAAGCTCTGCATAAACTGTAAAAAACAAGTTTAGCAAGTAAAAAAGAAGTTTCAGTTCCAAAAAAATTTTCGTTTTCCAACAAGAATGTATGTTTCTTATACAAAAAAAGTTTGAAATTGTGAGTTCTAGAACTAAAATTCATCGACGTCGAGAGTATTTGACTTACAATCACGTTTAATGTAAACTAGGTAACCTTGTTACATCGCCTCTGGCAAAGTTACTACCAATAACCTGTCCACTTCATAATACACAGGCGACATGAAGCAGTCACGTTCTTGCTTTCCCGCCTGTTTTAGAAGTGGTGTCAGTGACCACGTGGCTGGACTATCCACTCAGCATGTGGGTTGACTTTGTACAAAGCCATCATGTTTGTGTCATGATCAAGACATCGTTCACCTGGGTAGAACAAAGTGAATAAAATAAAATCGTCATATTATTCCTTAGATCCTTTCTTCCGAAACTTTCATTATCTACAGTGAGCAGGACTGGATAAATCTCAAAAGACTGAGGAGTATTTATTGGTGTTAGAAGTATTAAATACCGCCATTGCCCTGCTTTTGCGATTGGCGGGAAAAATTTGCGCCCCTTTCTTACTCAATTATCGCTTGCAGGCGCGTGTTTTCCCGCGCTTGGAGCTGCATGTATTTGCGTCGACACCTGATTGGTTTATGTGAATATTCTGCGTTTAACGTGATTTGCCAGGGAAACAAATCAAAAGAAAACCGCGCTAATCCTGCGAACCAATGACTGCTGGTTGGCTCGCTCTATTGAAAGCCCGTATCATGAGAATTTTCCGGGTCTTTTGAGTAAACTACACTGGAATGGCCCCGGAACAAAAGGAAAGAGACCAATTCAGTCACAAAGTAGCAGGAATTTCAGCTGTCACCTCGAGTCGCACAAGTAACGGAAAAAAACAAAGAAACGGCTGAAATTCAAGCTACTCTCTCAGAAGACTGTAACCCATTCCTTTGACACAAATTCTTCTCTGCTGGGCAATCAATTGGTACTAAATCTTGGTAACACTGCATTTTTTCCTTTTTCCTCAACTTAACTAACAAAAATTTTTTATATGTTCTCACCTATGTTACCGCCAACTTCGTAGAGATAGTAATTGTCTGAAGCGAACTTATTGTTATTGTGAGGGTTGAGGCAGTTCTTGTAAGAGTCACTCGTTTGAGATTTGCAAAGATTCCCAATGTTGCTTGGGCCTTCGGAAGGAGACGGGCGTCTTCGAAACTTGGAGACAATGTCCCCAGCGCGCATACTCTCGGTGAGTTGAATTGCCATCAATATCTTGTTCAGCATCGGTGCTTTCACCCGTATGATATTGTTTTCATAATCAGCCTAAAATGGAAACGAAATTTGTCAATTAAACATTACTTCACTAATACCAATCAAGCTTTGGAAGAAATCCTTCAAGGCCGAACAAAATTTCGAATTTCTTGTGTTTTGATTTAAAAAATAGCCTATTATATCACAAATTTTGTTACAGTTATGATTAATTGGTAACAGAACTTCGTGTGGTCCAATTCGGTCTGTAATCATACTCGTGATTAAACAAATCGGACTCCCGCATTTTGTTAATCACTCGTATGATTACAGACCGAACTGGACTCCACTCAGTCCTGTTACCATTACTAATTTGCAAGTGTAGCTGTTGCTTTAGGATCTGAAAACAATAGCCACACTTGTAAATAAGACTCGTAAACGTTTTATTAAATTGGCTGCATTTCAACTCCTAACAAAACATTTGGAACGTTAAAATAACCATGGATCTGCTTCATTGTGCCTTAAAAAAAACACAATTTTTAAGTATCAATAGGCCATTTGAATGATAAAATGAATAATGTGAAATGTTAAATCTTCAGCATGCGATCTGTAACGAGTTCTTTTCTTGACGCAAAGTCTCATGAAGACTTTTTTCCCAGACTTGTGCGATGAAACATAATCCTCCCGGAAGTCGCGATAGAACGGAGGGGTTATCATCATATGATGAATACAGAAACAGTGGAAACATTTAAAATGCGTTCACTGAAAATAACTTACATCAATCATAGTCATGGAGCCTTCCCCTGTAGAATTTTTCTTCTGTGGAGAGCTTCCAGGTCCATCACCTCGAGCACGTTTTGCAAGCAACTTCCTCACCTACAGTAAAACAGCCGGGAGATCACGGTTGAAATAATTTCGTTCCACCTTGAACAAATTACGTGCAAACACAACTTTTTAGAGGGAAGAACACGCACAGCAAGCCAAAGCATGATAAGAGTTTTATGGTCTTTTAAAGGGGCTGGCAACAACTGTCCAGTTCATTGGGTTAACATGCCTATAACGCGTCTTTATTTGCTAAGGAACTTAGCATAATGCAAAACATTTACTTGTAAAAGACAAAATCACAACTTCGTATCAAGCAAACATCTCTCCCAGGGCCCAGTTGTTTGAAGGCTGATTAGCGCTTAACCCGGGATTAAATTTAACCCGGGTTTCATTTTATTGTGTTCAAAAGCATTTTCTCGGATAATTTTCTCTGTTATTTTTAAAGCTTCCAATAATCAACTTGTAGACAAAAAGAATTAAAACTGAAATTATTCTTGAGCTTTCATATCTGAACTTAAATCTCGCACAAACCCTGGGTTATCTTAACCCAGCTTTGAACAACTTGGCCCAGAGCATTATATCAAATGTCACAAACAACAAGTATGAAATTTGAAAAACAGTTAAGCTAACAAGTTTTCAAAAACGGCAATTGCAATCCGTTTTAATCTTCTTCAAGTTTGTCCATCCTTGCCTTCTTTTCTATTTGCTGAGTTATTTATACCTTTTTTGATGTTTTGAGCCTATGACTACTCACTTACTGATAAATTTCGTGACAAAGCTCCTTTTAGTCACTAGTTTTTCAGTTTTCAGTTTTATGCTGATCATACAAGTCAAACCGTTAAAGCCAAACTATGCAAGCTATTCTGCAATGTTGCACTAACACTGCCAGTCAATTTACGCCTTGAGAGTATAAAAACTTACGGCTTTAGCATCTTTAGCTTTCTTGTTTCCCTCTGCTTCATATAAATAACGAACCTGCATCACCATAAATCCAGGAATCTGTGCAAAACAACCAACATAATTTAAGTAACAATCTATGTCTCTAGGTAGAATATCAAATCTTCAATCTATGTCTACGGGCCCTTTTCAGCTAGTCGTCATTCACGTGGTATAAAATACGCATTACGCTGGAGAGTAAATGACGAACTGGGACAGATGAAACAAAGGGCTCACATTACTTAACCCTTTAAACCCTGAGAGTGATCAGCATCAAATTTCTCCTTGTAATATCAATGCTTTGTAAAACAGAGTGGTCATGAGAATTAAGGACATGATCACACAGGATGTATTTGCTTGATCTTTTATCAACTTCTCCCCACTACTTCTGAAGTAAATGAATAGGGGCAACAAATGAGAAATCAAATTTTGATCTTAGGTTTAAAGGGTTAAAATGGTAATTTCCACTGTTTGTCTTCTCTTAGTGCTCCTCTTGCACTACAGTATAACGGTTTTATACCACGCGAATAACTAACTGTAAAGGGCCTATAACTACGGGTTTCCGAATCCTTACAACAACAGTTACTTAGCAACAAGAGATAGCGCTAAAAATACAGGGATCATCAGCAGGGCTGTCACTGAGGGGAGCATGGGGCCGGAGACTTCCCCTGCGTCCTATTACAAGCAGGACATCCGGCAACTTTGAGAGGAAGCATAAGGAAAATAGAGCACAAAGACCTTCCCAGCTGTTCAATTTTCCGCCTACTATTTGCATATAATGCAGTAAAAAGCCGCGACTAAGAACCTTCATTTTCCCAAGTCAGCCTAAACAAGTTCTTACATAAATGGTAATTAGAACAAATTTAGGCTAGGTTCTTGAAAAGGGTCTTACTTTGTTCTTACACTGTAGCTAAGAGTGTTTCGTGGTATTCAGCTCATTCCTTAGGTAAAACCTACATATCATTACAATTGCAGTTGGTATAATATTATAAGGGACCTATGTCACCAAAGAGGATCCTGAATGTGGCTTATTTTATTTGCCAAGTGTACAATTTTTTTTTTTATAGATTTTAGAAAATAAGAACTTGTTTCAGATTTTAGGCTAAACAGGTTCTTGTAGGGAGGGGGCCTAACTGGCAAATTTTAGCCTAACAGGTTCTTAAAAACTAGGTTTTTAGTCGCGGGTTTTTACTGTAGCACACCCGGCAACTTGAAATCTTAGTGACAGGCCTGATCAGAAACTCACGAGTTTCTGTTATCATTTAACGAGTGTTATTTGAGTGTAAGACAGGTTTCTAGAGCAAGACGTATTTACTAAGGACAGCCTTAAACGTTCTGGCTAAAGGAATTACCTAAAGGGAGATGAGTTCTTCCGCACTGAGCGCGTGGTGTGTGGCTGGTTGCGAAAAGTTGTTGCAGAAAGTGGAGAGCAGCTCAACTTTTAGCCACAAAATCTGTTCATTTTGCGCGTTTTACCGGCACAGGGAAACTTATTTTGCAATAAGTGACGTAAATTCCGTGTTAGGCGTGACTCCCGCGTAATTTTATCCAATCAGAAGTCAGTATACAACGCAACTTACAACCACCTGGTTTGTTAGTTAAAACGTGCAACATTGCTTTTTCAACTCTTTTTCATTGAGTTTGAAAAACAAGTTGCACGTTTTTGTTGCTTGCTTTGCCGTAGCTCTACTCACCGTCCACAGAATAGCTTGATACTTGATTAACATTCTCACAATGTTTACGGTGCCCTGCGCATGTTTAATTTCTTGTAATGTCGGCTGTGATTTGTTCGTGCACAAGAACATATTAGGTGCCATGATCATAGCCACGCTGTTAAGTCCCATCTTGTTGTGTTTTTCATGAGCGACCACTCGACTCAAGAAGTGAACAAGAATCTATGAAAAAACGATGGTCGAATGTGTAAAGAGTCCCAAAGATTTTACTAAAGTTTGTATAGTTAACTTTTTCTCTCCCAATACAATTTCATTTTTTAGATTTTTTTTTTTGGCAAAATGCTTGAAAACGAATAGTACAATGTGCCACTTATACGGGACAGTTTGCGTAAGACGCGTCTTATTTTTCCGCGTACGAATGGCCCTAATATGGACGTACTACCAAAGACCTTTCACTTAAATGGTCACACCATGGGGTTTTGTCCACTAAATCAAAATTTAGGATGACCTTGCAAGACTCCATCATTCATTATGGGACTAAAAATGATAAGAAACTTCAAAAATTAATACGCTATTACCGAGGCATTCCCAGGTATGGTCATTATTTATTTTGTGCATGCACAGAGCCACATCAGCCCGGCAGAGACAGTCATGAATCAATCAGCAAACAGGTTACATAACACGTCCTCTCCTCTTCTGCAGAGAAAACTGCGTTTTTTTGAAATATAAATTATACCTTTTTCTCAAGAAAATTATGGTCATAGATCCAAATTTAGCAAACATTTTATAAAACAACAAATTAAAACAGAGTAACTCCGTGCATGTTACTGGGTGTTTTACAAGTGATCATCTTTAGTTACCTTCAAGCAGTCTCTATGAATTGGCGGCAACAACAGAATTAAAAGATTTAAAGCCTGAAGCTGCTGCTTCCTGTCGGGAATACCTTGATCAAGAGAAACAAGAATTAAAACAATAAACTAGAACTCGACCGCTCATCAGGTAAGAAAAAGACTTAAAATTTCTTTGGTTGGGGAGGAAGGCTTATTTTTCGACTACTCACAATGTAAAAGAGCAAACAATCAGTTTGAAATTGATTGTTGTCTCCCACTCATTTGCAACGTTTTTCTAGACAAGTAAGTTATTGAATATAACAAGAAGTGTTAAAGAATCAGGTCTAAATGATTTAAAAACTGCCAGTAGTACCGCCACTTGTAAGGAAGACATTTTGATAACTGGCGAGATCATGAGATAGACAGACTCCTACAAACTCATGTTAAAGCCAAGCTACTGCGTTTTTAAGCTCGTATAGGTAATAGCATGATAACTGGCGAATCATGAGATATTTCAAAATTGTTAGACTCCTAGCCGTCAAACTCATGTTAAATATCAAGCTACATGCTATTATTTGTTTATACTTTGTAATTTTCCTCAGTTTTCAAATTATTGAAATACCACTGCTCATGCAGAAATTTCTAATGTAGTAGTATAAAGTTTGTTATATAATGTATCATGGCTTTATATTCGCATTTCAATCAGTAACAACGCACTCACTTTCGACAGACGCGAAGGTTGGTTGGTATTCATGCGTTAACAGAGGAAAAGGAAGTTCCCTATAGAAAAACAAAAAACTATAAGTACACCAACACAATTACTTTTGAATACAGCAACGACTTAAATGGCCTTTTAAATCACCCTCGCATTCCAATTATCTTAAATCTTACCGAAGAAAACGGCTATAAAATTTTAATGTCTGGCATTAATTAGGGACACCCAACAACTAATTTCACCAAAAGCACATTTCAAAAAGCTGTTTAAGGCTACCTAGAGTGATTTTAAAACTCTTCAATGCATTACAGACGGCGTTAAAGATTTGTTTTCTTCCGGTCATCTTTGGGCAAATTGAGCCTTTTGAGTTTTATCAGTCGGCCTCTCAGTCGTTTTTTCCCGGAAATCTAAGACGTACGAAAACGTGAGACTTTCTTATACCCTTTTCCATCACTATTTACGTGACTGAAAATTTTTGGAGCCTTTTCTTACGAAAAATAATATGCTAAAAGGGGTGAAATGAAAAAACATCGTGGGAAAGTTAGCTGAAATACGCCGAAGTTCTCCCGTGAACGGAACAGTTATTTAGAAATTTTCAGCTTTCCTGGCTTAGAGGTTTATAATTTCCTAGGCATTATTTTCTTTACAGACATTAACAGAAACCAGTCGCTGGGTGCCTTTATTGATCGAAGTATCATCAGTGTGTATCTTAAATACAATAAATACCTCCTGGGCAGAAGCCAAAGACACCCTTGGCAAAAATAATACACTAAAAATAGTATTGGCCAGTCTGCGTTACCTTAGAAATTGTTTCAGTAAAGCTGCACAATCATGCGGCCTCCTGTCTTCCCAAATGAACAACCCATCATTAAACTTTTCTTCCACTTCTTCTCTCATGAGCTGAAAAATGTTTTATTATAAGCTGTTACTTCCAAAAAAATACAAGTCAAATCTCCTTAAACACGTACGGGCAGCAACAGGGTAGAGTCAAGTGCCCCCTTTTCAAAGCGGTCTGTATTACATGGAGGAAGCAAATACCTTATAAAAGGTTCGGCACCTATGAGAAAGGTCTATAATAAACTTCACTCTTGAGTCGCCCAAGATTTTTCAATACTACAAATTATACCATGGCATCGCTAATACTTATGGATTTTGTGTGATCAATTTGTTCTGATAAACAAATTTTAACGTTTTCCGCGTAGTATAGTGCTTGATGTATAAGCAACTGTGGGATCAATTTAATAAAACTTTTACAAGTGTAATTTACAACTGTAGCTAGTGTATTCAGACTCTACAACAATGGCTACACTTGTAAAAGTTTTATCAAATTGACCCCTAAATTTTTAGCATTTTGATCATGTATTAAGTGCGGGACTGAACCTTGGGCTATTTTGGTTCATAGCAGTCTGGGTTTATAGAAACGAACAAAGCTGTACTTTATAGATAGCAGTGTGCAAGGCGTCGTGGTTTGACTGTGTACCATTCTTTAATCGTACGTGATTTCAAACTTCAAAACAAGAAAAAAAATGGGTTTTTATTATACCTTGATTCTTCCGGCGTTTCCTGGAACTCTCAAGATCCCTTCTTCCTTCAATCCTGATGACGCAAAATTGAAATTTGAGATATTTATTGGGACGTGATTTAACTAACTTTAATATTCTTATTTCTAGCCGGATTTTTGATAACGTTATCGCCAAATGAACCTTTTGCGTCCAGCAGTTTTTTTGTTCAGTTTTATTGTAAAAACTAAGAGTGCAACCATTGCTTTTTTTCTTCTCCTTATTTCCTTCTCCTCGATCTTTCTTTTTCTCCTTTCCTTTTCCTTCGGGCTCAAGAAACCTGTCTTTTGACGCCTTTTCCCTCAAATGACTGCAAATGTCGTTAGGTTGGTTTTAAAAAAAATCGGCTAGATTTATTTTGCAATAAATTTCATACTTTACAAGAAAGTGTCTTCTTTAAAGAGTATCATGTAATTAGGTAGAAACTTTCATGAAATTTGCTTAACTTTGTCTCATTAACATACCTTTCTCTGTCAAATACATGATAAGCTGAAATAAAATATAAAACTACGTTAACTACGTAATCTCATAATTATTGCTGTATAACCGCAAACTGGAGATACACGAACCGACAAAGAGGGTCACTTAAAGGATGGGAACAAATTTGATAATCACTAACAATATAGTATAGTATTATTTCCCTTTGAAATTTTACGACATTTCCTGTGTATTGCAGAATGCAGCAAATTCTTAGGCGCCGACCACACGAACAGCATATTTTTTAAAACTGGTGTTTGCTGCCAGATTAAAACAGTAGCAAAAACCAGAGGCAAGATAAGCGTGTAGGTTTCTGTATGACTTAGGCTTAAGAGTCACCACTGATCTAATATAAGTGAAAGCAAAGGCAGGATGAATGCACCTTAACTTTCTACAATCTATCAATTTGTAGCCCTGGAAACGAGGATTATCAGGACTTGCATTTTGTTTAATGCTATCTTGGTAGCTCTCGCCCTGAACTTTAAGCCTCGGCTCACGTTGTGGTTCTTACCTCAGTATAAAAAGGTGGTATTGATGCTTTTTCATTCCTCACTTTGTCATCTTGCAGTTGATTTTGAAGAGGCACTCCAAATATACCAGATTCTGACACAAAATAATTACAGAATGAAGTGTTAAACTTAGGATCTCATTGGTAAGAAAAAGCGAGACAGTGAGGTATCCTCAAATTTAGTATCAGAAGTTCCAGGGCTCAGTTTCGGACTCACAATCATATTTTTCCTACTGTTCTTCAGAAGCTGTTTTTTTCCATCCACATCTTTATTACTTGACACTCACGTAAGTTTACACATTCTCAGGATGGGCAATCATTTCCCAGAAATTGAAAATCAAAGAAAAATCCTTTCCCGGATTTCCAAGACCCGGACGATCCCTCGAGGTGCAAACTCAGTTTTACAGCTTGTCCTTCGGGCAAGCTGTAACTAGCATTTACTAGCCCAAGAATCACTTCAACAAAGCCGAAAAAATCTGAGATGAGCATCAGGATTAATTACAGTTCTTCGGTAATTTGAATTCCCCCAAAATAGTTCACTTGCCCATCGGGCAAGTTAAGAACACAATTCACTAGCCCGATAGCACAATTCACTAGCCCCAAGCTATTAGACGTGACTTTTTAGTGACTGTACATGTAGGTCACTGCTATTCTAATCCTTATCACCACTATTCCAGTCCCTACCCCACTCCTTTCCCCACCCCTCCACCCCCACAAAACAACAAACAGCAGACATGCAAGCAAGCTGATCATTTCCGTTTTATACCACTGTCTACTGACCTCGAACTCTTCTTCTGACGGGTTTTCTTCTGTGCAGTGCCAGTCCATGAGAGTCGAATAGTGCTGTGAGTTCTATGAGGGACAAAGAACGCACCTTCTCCATGTCTTGTGGAGATAAATCGTGAACTCCTGTCACACCTAATTCATCTTTTGTAAGCGTAAAATTCTGTTCAAGAGAGGAAAATGTAAAGAAAAATAATGCAAAACGACTTCTACATATATTTTGTAATGTTAAGAGAAAACAGCCCAACACCTTGATGAAAAGTGAAAAATTTTACATGTGCATGACAGGGATAATAATGTGAGCATAAATAGGGCATTCATTTAGATTCATATTAAAGTTGCTAACAGGGAATGTCTATAAAGTGATTATTATTGTAAAATTAACAATTAAAGGCAAATACTCACAGGAAGTCTTGGAAATTGCGGTTCCCTAAAAGGCTTTCTGTCAGCAGAGACTTTACCATTCTACAGCAAATCAAAAGAAACAATCATTTTGGGACCCTGTTTGTAACATTAATCCAGTGGAGCTACACTGTATACATGTAAGTTGTGGGTAAAATGCAGACTTTCAGGTTAACCAAAAATTTCTTTAGTCTTCTATGAAAAATTATTAAGGCTAGGAAATTTAAATGAATTTTAAATCAAACTAGTTTTAACCCGTTAAACCCTAATATCAAATGGAGATTCTCATTTACTATCCCTATACTTTTTCGATAGAAATAGTAGGGAGAATTTGAAAGTGTGGCTACCTCCAATGGCTTGCACAGATTCTTCCCTTCAGGTACATCAACAGGAACTTCTTCAGGGCAATCAACAGGAACTTCATGAAATGAGTCAGGACTGGTGTCAGGAGGCGATATACTCAATGTTTTCAAATCACAGTTGCTTAGGTCATCAACACTGGATTCTTTCATTTTTTCGGCCGTATTGAATAGTTCTTGTTTTGTCGTCCCTGTCACATAAAACACTGATCCCCCTTGTAAGTGTCGAGCTTGCTGGAACCCTGTGTTTAGAAAATAAATTATTTTAATGTGCCTACAGGGTGTAAAGCTTTCCCAAAGGGCATAAACTGTAGAGCTCTAGCATATATCAGGCCTACAGTCATTTTACCTCGCTCAAAACCGTCATTAATGAGTCCAGGGTTGTCAGAAAGTTTTGAAGTAGACGGCTGAGTTGTCAAAGTAAGCAGCCAGTCCGGGGATATTTCATTTAAAAAATGCGATCCATAAAGATTTAATGCCAAGCTGAGTAGCCAGCCGATACTAACCAAGTGGGCGGCGATTTTCGCCAGCAGCCGGCTACTTTTGACAACCCTGCAATGACAAGCCGGTATTTTGTCAAAAAATTCTGAAACTTTTCAGCATGTGAATTTCTGGATCCATACAATAAACATGTGAAAAACCCATGACTTTGAGCTTAATTTGTCACCCATTATATAAATAGGTAATCAAAATTGATGGTAAACTCGTGAAATTAGGGAATCACTTAACTTGCATTTTGTCCAAATTCTTACATTTATAATTCTTGATTACACATACTAATTATTTCCCTTTGTCACATCAGCTTGAAAAACAGTTTTCAATCCACAATTTTATTGGGAATTTATCTTACAGAACTTCTGTAATTTGAATTCCACCAAAAAACTTCACTTGCCCGACAGGCAAGTTAAGAACAGAATTCACTGTTCTGATTGCAAAATCCACTAGTTCCAGTCTATTGGAAAGGACTTGCTTTGAAAACTATGCATATAGTAACTGACCTACAACAGACACTCTTTTTAGCTGATAACATGATCCACGCACCTCTCAAAAAAATGTGTCTACAGGTCTTGACTTAGGGGGCCCCACTATAACTTACTGTATCACCCCTAAACTGGTAGCCCTAAAAATTAGAAACCTGAGATCTTTACCTCTCCTTGGTCGCATTTCATCACTTGATCTTCTTTCTGGACATGTAGCATTTTCAGGACGTAGGTAAGCCCCTGAAAAATCTCTATCTTGATTCATCTTTGAAAGCGTGTAATCTGACTTCGAATGTCTTTTCTCAGAGTGTCCTAACTCTTTATCCACTTCACCATTGCCACATGAAGACAGTTTATTGACATGAACTCCTTCACTGTACGATTTTCGCAGTAGCGTTGGTCTTGTTGTGTGAGCCTGTTCTGCATTGCTAGGCTGTCCATTTGTTTTTGTTGGAAAAATTGTTCTCACATCAGCAGGGTATGCACTTTGCTTTGATGGTGGTATTTGTACATGCAAGCCAAGTTTTTTCTTGGTGCTTTGATTCAAAGTGTCAATTCTTTTCCTGACAGCCTCTGCTTGTTTCTTTGTGAGCGATCCTGTGATCTTCTCAAAGTCCACATCATTATGATCAATTTCTTTGCTATCTAAAAGAGTGAAAAATATTATTTTACTCACTCACAAAAAAAAAACAATAATAAAAATTTTATATTAGGTAGTATTAGTGACCCTCCTTCCTTGAGGAAGAACTCTTCTTATAAATGAAGAAGTATTGTTAAACTATAATCAAGATGTCTTTTTAGGTGATCGTCTGCTCATGACCTTTTAAAGTTACATGTAAACACTGCTGGAGGGTAAAAGCTTGCTCAGTCTGTACATCTTCCTACTTCCCTAACGTTTGTGCACATGAATAACTTGTGCACATGATTTATGTGAACCTACAGCTAACAGAGTTCACAGACAATTTATTGAATGTGTTCCATCTGTTTAATATTTCTCACCTCACTAATTCACTCCCACCTGGTTATTTACCCACCTCTAACATACAGCTTGGCACACACACTTTCACTTGACAATGAAATAAAGAGATAAACATTTTTGCAATCCTGTCTCATGGATACCTCCAATCTACATGTAGAGACACCTTCCTTTCCCAGGCAGTTCCCAAAGATAAATAGATTTTTTAACCCCTAATCTCTACACAGTAGAATTTACAGCATACACTATATTGCCCACAATCAGATGACCATCTAGGGGACAAAGGTACATGTACGTGACTGTACGGCCACTGTACAGTAGGGAGAAGGCTGTCGTAAGATGTTAAAACAAGAGAGGATGTATCTGCTACGGAAAAATAAAATAATGGTGGCCATTGCCGAGAGGTAGTTGATTGTAGGCGGTTTAATGACAAACCATAAAATATAGCTGTGCACAACACCGAAATGTCGTATTCTACATGTGCAGATGATTTAATTCTTACCTTTATACTTCTTTACAATGGTATCAAATCCAGCTTCCTTCAGCCACTCAAGTTCCTGCTCACATTCTGTAGGAAAAAAAATAAACTGTTTAATATAATAATTAATGTTGTATAATTTCTGACACAAACTCAAGTTTAAGCATTTTGCCTCTTGTGGGACTAACATCAGACAGGAAGGTGTAGTGGAGGAAGTCCAGAAAAATTCATGTAAATACATGTTTGTGTATCATCACTTCCTTTGTGACCTTTTCACTATTTATCTATTTTTACCAACAATTATTTATTTTTTTGTACAATATTGTATGTAATTTAAGAATTTGCAATGACAGAAAGTAAAGTGTTAATAACAGACAAGGTAACATGGTACGGCATGTTGCTGGTCTCAAATCAAAGCTAGATTTTAACTCGTTTTAAATTTTCTTCTAAGGCTTGCTGTAAGTCAAATTCAATAACAACTTCCATGCATTTAAATTTTGACAGTGTTAAATCAAGAAATAAAAATTATGCTTTAAATGAAGGAAAAAACATTCAACCACATTTCCTCATCACAGGGCTTCATGTGGCATGACCACAATAAACACGTACACTGTGTATATGTATGTATAATATATGCCGGCTCGCGATCGGGTAAATATTAAAGCTCTGATATTTGAGACTTCAGATTGTTATTGGATTTGTCTTTATTTCATTCCTTAACTCTCAACTCTGTTCTATTGCTGCAGGCACGAAGGAAACAAAACTGAACATCAAATCTGTGTTAAAGAAACTCAATCCAAAAGTCGCACTAACTGAATTATCTGGTAATAACAATATTTTCATCAAACAACTATTTACAAAACCAAAGAATCATGTCAATATCCAACTTTCAATTACAGCTACTACAGACAGGGCGTCTTTCTACTGCTAATGACATAACGAAAGTAAACAGGACCAATGTATATATGTACAAACCAGCTCTGTGCAAATCATAACATCCTCGTCGGTGTATGAACCTGGTGAGTCTTTCCAAAGGTTCTTGGAGATAACTGATCATCCCTGTATCCTCAACCGAACAAATCCATTTCTTGATCATACATTCTGATTCTATTCAAGTCTACAATCCTCTAAATAAAAGTTTCACCTCACACTACACTGTGATCTTCTTTAAAAGCGGAAAAATGCATGAGCTGAAACAAAGCTCCTGTATGGGCTTATCATTTAGTTATCTAAAACCGAACGGAAGGAAGCTGCTCTGAATCAATTTGTCACTATAAAACTGAATAAAGTAGTCTTGGTGGCCTGATAAACTGCTCAGATCTATGCAGGGATGGCTTGTTGTACTTTCACATTACAAAAATGTCTCCACATATCGTAAATTTCAGTTTTGATGCAATTTGAGTGAAAGCTCCTGTATTAATTCTGATAACAATATTAAATGAAACCTAATACTCTAATTTACCAATGTTTATGTATTTAAGGAGTCAAATGTCAAATTATGAGGTCATTTTATTGATCTCTAAGATAAAAACATTCCCTTAACATATTTGATTATGTAACATGTTTACACATGAGAGGAGAGGTTGCATTTGTAAACCTGCCAGTACATGTACCAATAATTCACTAAATTTAAACATTGACAAGTACAAAAGAAACAAAATTTTCATATTTTGTTTTGAGGAATACAGTGTACTGAATGTGAAAGTATATGTAGGTTGAGGAGGTGTTAATTTAACAGTTGAGTCAAAGGATTTCTCTGATAAACAAGCAAGTTTGAACTGACCATCACGTGTTTTCACCATTGACTGAAGGGTGAAAGGTTAAAACACCCTCTGCTAAGTATTGCATTATAAACACACAGCACTTAGCCAAGATAGGGAATGAAGGAATGTAAAAACCACGAAAGAAAATTGCCAAAAATGTTTACTTTCTGTACAGGTGAGATTCAGCTGCACACTGTTGGGTTTGTTTCTCAGTAAAGTTGTTTTGCTTAATGATAATATGTTTGATAACCTGCACTACAGTCTTGAGAGCTATTTAGGATTAACTCATTAGATGCAGTTGGGTAATAACCAGGGGGACTCCCTTATAAAGGAAATGGAGGTATGTGCTGCCTCAAAGGGTATGGTTTTTGGGCCCTTTTGGTCTAAAAACGGGTATAGACTTTGCCCATTTTGGTCTGGAATCAGGAATGGTTTTCAAGGGAACAAAAGGAGTGTATGAACGTATAATTTATTGCTTCAATTCCAAATCAATAAGAAAGAAATAGAAATATGCGAATTTGAAATACATTAGAAAACTTTTTTGTTTGCATTCTAATCTAAGTAATGATGACATAATTTCTGCCCAAAGGCCAGGTCTGAAAACAGGTATGGATTTTAGAGGTCTGGTCTGAGAATGGGTGCAGAAAAAGACATTTTTTGGTCTGAAATAGGGTCAGGATTTGGAGAACCGGGCAGCACACCCCCACCAAGAATTCCCAGGAGTCCCCCCCCCCCCCATTGCTCGTCAAATTACTGACAGAAAGTGTCACAATGTAGACTCAAATCAAACAACACTGTTATTAAGGATGAACTACATTGTACATTTTAAAACCTGAATTCACACAAAACAAAAACTTTCAAGTAACATACAAAAAGCCCTTAGATTTGCTTGTTAAATTTATAGAGCTGCCTGTGCATGAACTGTGATCTTAAAAACCACAGACATGGTTACTATGATGACTATGATGTCATTTTACCCTTATAACGGTTGGAGAAAATGTAAAATATGGGAACATACTTCTTCACAGTAAACAACTTTGACAGGCTAGGAAAAATGTGACATAACAAATACCAGAAACTGCAAGAGTTAGCCCTCAGATTGAGACAAAAGCTTTTCAGGGACATTCTTTAAATTAGAATTTTAAATACACATGTAAAGCAGTGTAATATCTAAAAACAATAAATTTGAAAAGCATCACTCAAAGTAAACAAACAAACTCACAGAGTGTCATGCTTCCTATTAGGGCATTTCCTCTTTCTTTTTTCCATTTTTTCCTTTCTTTTTTCTAGTTTTTCTTCACATGATACATACAAGAGGGTGGCCTTGGGTGGCCTACAGCCAACATGACCATGCATTTGAGAGAAAACAGCTGGGCCACAGGAAAACCACCCCCCGATTCTCTGGTTTGTTGTGATAGCCACTGTACCCTTTGACCTCCTACAGCAAAGCTTGAAGGATTGCATCACTTTCAGAAAGGAAAATCTAATTTACAACACTATACCTCCTGTGGACTCTTCCTCGTTATCCTCATCTGGCACAGGGAGTCTACTCTCCTCAATTGCTCTGTATTCCGTCCAAAATATGTCATATTCTAGCTGGTCCAGCGCTCGTCCTTTCACACGCAATGCCATTAGCCTCTTAATTCAGCAGCAGTCATTTCAGTTAAATACAATGCTATAAAAAGTGAGAAATAAATACAAAAGGTTTCAGCAAATGTTTGCAAGTACTTAAAACTACCCTGTGAGCAGGGTTAAAGGGTATCAGGAGTCTACTATTACTCAGGGATGTAGCTAAGATTTCAAGTTGCCAGGTGTAGGTAATTATTAGTAGGTAGGGAATTGAACAGCTAAGAGCAGTAATTCCTTACATATGCATGAGGAGGTAGCCTAGGTTGACCTGCTTATAGAAGCCAAGGGAAATTACCAGTCCTCATGCAGCCCTTAAGGACAGTCCTGTTCATTATTGTAGACTCCTGACTTCAGTCATATCCAATTTACAGCTCCTCAAATTCAATTCACAGCTTCTCAAACCTCCACTTACCAGTAATTTGAACCAATAGTTTGTTCATAAATCAAGGTATCAAATAATATTATTGTCCACCAAGCCCGAACTTGTTTCATACCATTTGCTCGTTGGAGCAGAAGCTAAGGCAGACCATTTCCCTTTTCTCTGGGAGATTAGAAAAAGTGGGGACTCAAATGTATTTATACAAAAATACTTTAAAACAATAGGATACACTCAACCCTTTTAAATATATTTATTCACCAAACAAACTGAAGAGGAAGCCTCAAATACCAGAATCTAACCACCTAATTTCAGCCTATCAAAAATCATGACGTGTATTCCACTGGTTTTTAAAGTTTAAACTGCAGAATTAAAATCCTATAAACATGTGGTTATTCAAATGAAGGTGATAACATTTGAGCAATTTTAGATCAAGTACCACAATTTACACATTATGCTGTGAAGAACAGCACTGTTGTATCTTTTAAGATTCTATGAAATGCTCAAGTTTGATCTTCCATAGCACCAATCAAACTATACTTTTCAAAAGTGAACTTTATTTGCTACAAAAGACATTCAGTTGGGAAACTATTTGCTCCTGCCTGCACTTCTTAGCATTCTCAAAGACTCTTGAGTGTACTAAAACCAACATCCTGTTTACAGTGAAAATATTCAAGAGGTTCTTACTCAAAACACACAGGGGACTTCACAGCAAACACATGCAGCCAATTTTAAAACCTTTATATAATACAAATGTGCCCTGTCATTTTTTCACCTCACTATTTGCATTCTCAACAGTGATTGGCTTAATCACATTTAATATTCCCGAATGAGCCAAAAACAATGCCCTTATAAAGATGAATTTACTTAACACTGATTCAAGATCTATTATTAACTAAGGATTTCATTTATGGATGTGTATTCAGTGATAAATGGACTTGGGCTTTATGAAGTGATAAAATTCGTGTGCTGTGCTTTAAAGTTTAATTTCAGAGACATTGCAATAAACTTAACAGCAGCTCACGTCTACAGTACTCTCCTAACAGTTCAATCGACATTGGGGGTTTTAAAAATATTTTTGAAAAATGGTAAATATCCTAGAGAACCGAAATTTACGCAAGAATAATATATTATATTGGGGAAGAACACGCGTGACAACTCTTAACAACAGCGTGAAACCGAAAAGAATTCGCTCTATATCCAGCGTAAAAAAAAACGTACAATCCGCAAAGGTGTGCATGCTACTACATGTTGCAACGCGTTGCGGCCTCAGAAAAAGGCCTTGCTGAAATCTTTCTTTTGGAGGGCTTTCGCAAATTTAATCGTAGTTTTGGTCTTGAAAGTTTAAGGGAGCAGCTTTTCTCCAAAAAAGAAAGATCGGAAAAAAATTAATTCGAATCCCGCAGAGATTGAATTGAGGTGACGAGAAAAAAAATTGACTTGCTTGGTACTCTAGTTCCGTAGAACTATTGTCCATACGATTGTCGAATGGCGAAACTCGATATAAATTGTACTTGAAGGCTACGTAAAATACTGTTGTGAAAAATATATATGAATGAAGTTGCGCACTAATACGTGGAAGCATTTATGCTAACGTTGACAGAATAAGAAAATTGTATTTGGCCGCAAATTTTACCTCGACAACTAGCGGTAGGAACCAAAACATTTCACACCTTGAGCATGTAAAACACCAAAAAGCCCGGTTTTTCAAGACACGCACACACAGCTGATTGAACAGGACACGAAAGACTGGAGCTATATCAGTGAGTTTTGAGAAATAAACAACCGAATAAGCTTAATATAGAGCAAATGAAATCCAAAAGAATTTTACAAAATTGTGCGAAAGTTTAATTTTCTGATTCGCGCCAGATTTAGTGACTCTGGACGGGATGAACGAACTGCAAGTAACAGTAATTATTTTATCATTAACATGAAACATAATTAAAAACTACTACTTCAGACAAAAATACAGAAAGTGTGAAAGTAAGTAACGGTAAAAAGAAGCCTATGGGATGAAATAAGCAAGCTTAAAACAATAGAAACACTAGTTCGAACATTGTCTTGTTGACATAAATTTCGCAATTGACTTCAGAGACTTACCTAGACGGTCTTCCTTTTAAAAGCAAATTACAGTTCAACCTCCCCTCGCGGAAAGCAGCTTAAGGTGCATTATAAGTCCAAACTATGCTGGAAATATTGGGTCAAATCCGATAAAATCCACGTATGATAATATGCTTACAAATCGCTAAGGGAAATGATACATGCACATCAACCAATATGGCTTCCAAGTCACGTGACTGTCGAAAAAAGTTACCGTGGGGAGTCCGCTGGTTTGACAGCAGTATTCATCCGCTTTGATCACTGTTTGGTCGTTTTCAAAGAAAATAGAGTATATAACGATGAAATCTAGTTTTATGAAGCTCAACATTACTGAGAATAAGAACGTTTTTCTAAACCTGACTAAGTATTTTGAGCTTACGTCAGTTTTTCAAGGAGGGGTAATCTTTTGACAATATTGCGCCTCATGTCAATATAGCTTTCAATGGCTTGCTTTTAAGTTCACCTTCTTAAAACGTTTTGGAGATTTTATTGTGTTAAGCAATGTTTTTACGTCACGAGTGGTTTTTAAAACATGGCTTACCTTAAAGTATACGTTACGGGGACCAAGACAGTTTCTAACTTTTTTTTCTTCCCATGCGAAAAGGTCTTCTGGTGTAAAGAAGGTAGTGAGAGATCCAAAGGTGGTCAAAGTTTGATAAAACCGAAGGTGGCATAACTGCTCGCGACATTAACGGAACTGGTTACTGTCTGATGCCTGCGCGGCGGATATGTCGGCATCAGAGAATGATAAAAAAACATTTTCTGGCGAAAATGAAAACAGGAAGTTTTGAATGCGTAGACTTTTCATTTTCAACCTGCCCTGCAGTTAAGTGTCGACTCTAGCCTAATGTAGGTTCGAAAGGGACCCGGGGGGGTACTTGGGTTAATGGACAGCTGGGTATGTGCAGCTGGCCTCTCAGATCAGAGCCCCTACCCCATTATAGTCTATTTTTTGGCCAATTATAGACCCCATCTTAGTCATTTTTTGGAAAATGTTATTTTTCGCGATCCCAGCTTAGTCACTTTCTATTCATCATTTTTATCAATGTGGTTTCAAGCAGCGGAATGTAATGCGATCAATGCGAGCTTATTGTTTAATTTAATAAACAACAACTTTCTGATTTTTCACCGAGAATTTTCCGATTTTGAATCCCTACTGACCCCAAAAATCCCAAAATTTGCGACCCCATTCTAGTAAATCTATTGAAAATGCGACCCCATTATAGTCCGGCTCCAGTCGTGAAAATGCGACCCCCTCCAGCGGTACTTCCCTATTAGCTTCTTGTAAGGGAGTACCCCCAACCGGAAAGGGAGAGGGAAGAGAATTTGGGCGCGAGCCCCTCGCGCTTCCGGCTCGCGCCCAAAATCCCCTTTCCCTTCCCTTTCGAACGCCTGCCACGAAGGCTACAAATGACTTAATAGAAAACACTTAAAAGACGGCTGGACAATTCGACACTTTAGAAACGAGAGGGAGACCAGACCGAATTCACTTTCCTCACCAGGACTTCTAGGACTAACAGGGGGAAAAAATTGGCTAATAGCTGAACACATATAATCCAGTTTTTCCTAACGTTTCTATCACTGTCCGGAAAAATATAAAGATGCATTCTTCAATCATCCAATCGCTGCAAACAAATATTTCCGTCTCCACCCATCGTTGCTTATAAATGGAGTTCCAACCAGCCTTCGTGACCTACTTGTTAGAGGCACTTCACGTGACTGTAGCATACAACAAGAATTATCATCTCCCGGCGTTTCAAAATGCAATCATCCAAGCTGTCTTACCTGTCCATTTTTAAAACAAGGCCAAGCCAACTACACCTTCACCTCCTCCAGAAAGAGAAACGACATATAGCTATTTCGAGAAAGGTTGTCGGAAAAAGTGCACGCGACAATCCTGAAAGACATTGTGGGTGGTTTTGAGTTCACTGTTCTTCCGAGAAATTTGGAAGAATTGGCACGAAAGGCCATGAAATGTGTTTGCGAGTGCTAAAGGAAAGCAACAAAAGTAGGTTCGACAGGTACAGTCGTCAGGAACAGTGTATCGATCATATCCCATATTACCTTTCGGGATTGTCGCGTGCACATTTTTTCCGACAACCTTTCTCGAAATAGCTGTATACATTACCCCTTAAACTGTAAATCCATAGACCTTATCTATTTCATTGAATCCAAAAAGTGCGGCAAACAGTACATTGGAGAGAACAAGCGCCATCTCCACCACTGACGCTTTGGGGAGCATCGCCGCTCCATTTTCAACTATCGCCACTTTCCTAATCCTACTCCTGTCTCCGAACATTTTAATCAAGCCGATCACTCTATCAACGACGTCCTTCTTATTCCCTTAGAACTAATCCGTAGCAATCGTGACTCTGTCAGAAAGGCACGCGACGCTCACCTCCACAGGAAAAAATAACAGATTCCCATTTTCGGATATTTTAGGGTTTTTATAGAATACCCACAAAAATCCCAAATTTAATTGGAAGAGTGAGACAAGCCCCGATCAGGGAACTTGGTTGGGAATTCCCTGGTTGGGACTTGTCTCACTTTGCCAAATCTGGGATTTTTATGGGTATTCTTTAAATACCCTAAAATATCCAAAAATGGGAATCCGTTATTTTTTCCTGTGCTCATTGACAAAGCTATGACTTTAGACTGAACCTCGTGGTATAAATAGACGTGATGAACTCAGTTAGTGACATTTATCTTTTTAGTAATCTCGCATATGTAAAGTTCATCTTTTATCTGTATTCATTTTTCTTTCACAGCCCCCGTTGAAGGTTTGTGTCGCAACTCGAAACTATCGGGCAAAAATAATTCACCACTTTATTTTTGTTCTCTTTCTTTATTTTTTCTATTACCTTCCTGCCGTAAGGAAGGAACACTTTACCGTTTTAAGTTTATGTTAAACAGTGCGTCCCCAGTAACGATCACGGTCCGCCGTTCAGAAAAAGATGGCGGCTGTACACTTTACCACAATGACTTTCGAACCTAACAAGGCCAATTTCACATAAAGTCACATTTTTTTTAGGGGCGGGGGGCGAAATTCGTCCCTGTAATAGCAACATTGCCTGTCCTAGGTTTGAAGTTTATAAAACCTTTCTGTGCGTTTTTATAAGCAGTTTTATGATTTCGTTGCGCTAAGAACTGTGGGTAAATGTACCAGTCGCCATCTTTTTAGGTACGGTAGACTGCGGGCCGCATATCTGCTCCAGTTTACTTCTCAGTCAATACGTATACCTATACTATCCACTGACCAAAACGCAAACTGCGGTTATAAACAAGGGGACGGTGGCACACCCATTGCAAGGTAAAGCAGACTCTGCTTATCAGGATTTAGAACCTGCCCTAAATGAAAATGCCAGCAGTGAAAAACTTTACCTTTAGTTTGCACCCTTTTTTGTGTGTAGATTTTTCTACCATATGTCATCTTTTGTTAGACTACGAGTAGTCCCCATTTTTCCTCAGGGATAGTAGAGCAAGCGAAACGCAAGAGCGCGTGAAAATCACCCCAGGCGAGAAAAGGTGACACGCGGCAAGGAGAGATTTGTTTTTTACGCGTCCTCGCGTTTCGCTCGCTCTCCTATCCCTGAAGAAAAATGGGGACTACTCGTAGTCTAATCTTTTGTTTATTCAATTAGTTACTTATTGTACATTTAAATTTCTGTTGTTAATCAAGTGGGGCATTTGCAAATTTTGCACTGCCCTGGGGCTTTTGCCAACCCCGGGGCCATTTCCGAGCTTTTCACTCGCACGCGGTTTCCT